ACTAATGGGGTAAATAAGGTACAAAGATATCTTATTTGATGTGTAAAATAAAATTTCACATTTATATATCAAGATATTTATATATTAAGATATTTTTATATTAAGACCTATAAGATTAGATATATTATTTATATATATATATATCTCTCTAATTATTTATGTATTCACATGCATATACAGTTGCAAGAAAATGTAAGTGAACTATTTTTAATTTTCTGGTTTCTGCATAAATTGGTCGTGAAATATGATGTGATTTTCACCAGTCACAAATGTCAACAAACACAATATTTCTAAGCTGATAAAACAAAACAGTCATGATCTTTCATGTCTTTTTGAGCACACTCATTAAACTTTATTAAAGTGATAGTGGAAAAAGTAAGTGAAACACTAGGCTTCTGGTATCACTAAGGCCCAATACTAATTCTCTTTTATACCCCTACGCCTGGCCTACCCCTTCCCCTTGTCTCTTGAAACAGAGTGTCAAGGGGTAGGGGTGAAAATATTGCCCTAAGAAATGGGACACCAACACTATACCATTACACGTCATCATACGTCATCTAACTCCTACAAACTTTAGCAATTTTTTTGCAAACATTTCCATATATATATGGAATAACATGACCGTAAATATGAACACACGATTAAATGTAACATAAAACAAATGATTACTTTTCTCGGGCAGTCATGTTGCCACTGTAGCTGGTTTATACTGAGATCATTCTCATACCCCTTTGTTTGAAGAGTGGTCCCGAAAAATCTTTGTTTGAAGGGCTATCTGGCCCTTCCCCCAACGCCTACACCTACATGTCCAACCAAAAGAGAATCGAGACACCCCTATCCCTTCACATGAACGCGTGAAATGGAGTGGTAGGGGTAAGTGTAGGGGTAAGGTGTAGAAATGAGATTGGGCCTAAATGCCAACTGGAGTCAGATGTTAGCAAATCAGGAGTCCAATCAATGAAATGAGAATAAAGGTGTGGTTTAGAGCTAAATTGACTCATATAAACACCCAAACAGTCAGTGTGCTATTCACAAGCAGCATTAGCTGATGTGAACCATGCCTCGCAAAAAAGAGATCTCAGAAGACCTACGATCAAGAGTTGTTGATATGCATGTTGCTGGAAAGTATGAGGGGCCGTATAGGCTATAATTATTGAAAAACCTCTTACAAACACTAGTGAAATGAAAAACATTGATCAACCTTAGTGAAATTCATTCATACGCATTACTGAAAACCTCTTACATACACGAGTGAAAACACTGATCAACCTTAGTGAAATACATTCATATGCATAACTGAAAAACCTCTTACAAACACTAGTGAAAACATTGATCAGCCTTAGTGAAATTCATTCATACGCATTACTGAAAACCTCTTACATACACGAGTGAAAACACTGATCAACCTTAGTGAAATACATTCATATGCATAACTGAAAAACCTCTTACAAACACTAGTGAAAACATTGATCAGCCTTAGTGAAATTCATTCATACGCATTACTGAAAATTACATACACGAGTGAAACGAAAAGATCAACCGTAGTGAAATTCATTCATAAGCATAAGTGAAATAAGTAAATATTTCAGTAGATGATGAGAGCTAATTTCACTTGAAACGGAAGCTGTGTCAACACTTCCGTTTAATTTGGCGCGTGTCTCACAAACTCTTCAATGGCGGTTAGTCGTAAGTTGTCTGAAGCTATTAGTAATATAAACAACATTTTACAGTCGTCAAGTACAATTCCGAAAGTGGGATAAAACAGCGCGACGTTACAGAGCTCACGCCGTGGTGACCTGTCATCGGCACGGCTCTACGGCTCTGTGACTCGACAGCAAGGAGAGGACGTGTTCGCTAGCGCCACTGAACTGACAGCGCGGCACGAACATTTAGAGTTCATGTGTTTTTCCCTGCACATAACAATGATTTGAAGACCAGTATTAAGTTACAGCATTTCTTTGACTTATCATTACTACATGTAAATAGTGTTACCTGCTTTGAATAGGCCGGAAAGCTGCAAAGCACTTAATGATTTACAATGCCTAGTCCTCTTAGAATGAAAAATGTTTTATGGATTCATTCATCAAGGCATTAGATAAATTTTACATTTAAAGATATTTGTGCAACTATAGCACATACTGACAAAAAAATGAGTAAAATGTACTGATAATTTTCTGGCAGGACATTATCCATTAATTTTCCATTGCGGAAATACGTACCATGGTTAATTTTCATAAGTTTTCAATTAACCCTAAAAACGCAACGCAATGCAGTGTAAAATTAAAAATACCGCCATATACAGTACACTGTATTAATGAAATTGCAATGTGAAAGTTAAATAAGCTAACACTGACCGTTGCCTGGTCTTTAATTGCTAGAGAGAAAAAATCCCATATAGCCTATTTAACAATGGGATTCAAATTTTAAACTGCTAAATAGAAATTGAAAACAATAAAGTAGCCTACAAATGTTGGACGTGCTACTCAAGAGGACTACAGTAGCCTATTATTAAAGTATCTGCTGCATGCAGCTCTTCAAAATACAACTTTTTATGTGGTAGAAAGATAATAAGCAAAAGAAATGTAATAATAAATTAATACTGATTTGCGTTATGTTATTTGCAGGGAAAATCACAAATTTCTGTGAAGTAGTATGAAGATGCTGATGTCCGCGCTGTCAATTCGGTGGCGAACACGTCCTCCCCGCGCTGTCGAGTCAGTCGCAGAGCCGTGCCAATGACAAGTCACCACGGTGTGAGCTCTGTAACGTCGCGCTGTTTTATCCCACTTTCAAATTGTACTTGACGACGGTAAAATGTTGTTTAAAATATGAATAGCTTCAGACAACTTACGACTAACCGCCATTGAAGAGTTTGTGAGACACGCGCCAAATTAAACGGAAGTGTTAACACAGCTTCCGTTTCAAGTGAAATTAGCTCTCATCATCTATTGAAATATTTACTTATTTCACTTATGCTTATGAATGAATTTCACTAAGGTTGATCAATGTTTTCACTAGTGTATGTAAGAGGTTTTCAGTAATGCGTATGAATGAATTTCACTAAGGTTGATCAATGTTTTTCATTTCACTAGTGTTTGTAAGAGGCTTTTCAATAATTATGGCCTATACGGCCCCTCATAGGAAAGGGTTACAGAGTAATCTCAAAAACTACTGTCCACTGTCCATCAGTCTACAATCAAACAAATTGTTTAACTATGACGATATGGTACTGTGGCTACTTTCCACAGAAGTGGGCGCCCAGCCAAGATCTCTCCAAAGGCAAAACGCAGAATGCTTAATGAGGTGAAAGAGAACCCTAGAGTAACAGCTAAGACTTGAAGGATTCATTGAAGCTGGTTAACATCTCTGTTCATGAGTCAACCATACATAAAACATTGAACAGGTATGGTATCCATGGAAGGACACCACAAAGGAAGCCACCGCTCTCCAAACAAAACATTGCAGCATGCCTAAAGTTTGCCAAAGACCACCTTGATACTCCACAACACTACTGGGAAAATGGGAAAATAAAACAGGGTACCAACATGAAAACATCAACCCAACAGTGAAGTATGGTGGAGGGAGCATCATGATTTGCAGCTGCTTTGCTGCCTCTGGACCTGGACCGTTTGCCATTGTGGAGGGGAAAATGAATTCCCAAGTTTATCAGGGTATCCTACTACAGGATAATCCCAAGGTGGCTGTCCGAAAGCTAAAGCTCAGGAGAAGCTGGGTGATGCAGCAGGATACACATTGATGTAAAACTATACAGAATGGCTTCAGAGACATAAAATCCACCTTTTGGATGTCAAGCCCAGACCTCAACCCAATAGAGATGCTGTGGAATGACCTCAAGAGAGACATTCACACCAGATGTCTTAAGAATATGGGTGAGCTGAAGTAGTCCTGTAAGGTAGAATGGTCCAAAATTACTCCTGGACGTTGTGCAGGTGCGGCCCAGTCAAGCCCAGACCTCAACCCAATAGAGATGCTGTGGTATGACCTCAAGAGAGACATTCACACCAGATGTCTTAAGAATATGGGTGAGCTGAAGTAGTCCTGTAAGGTAGAATGGTCCAAAATTACTCCTGGACGTTGTGCAGGTTTAATACACAGCTATGAAAAGTGCTTGCTTGAGGTTATTGCTGCCAAATGTGGTTCAACCAATTATTAAAGCACTGTTTCTCTTTTTCCACCATCACTTTGAATGTTTAACAGGTGTGATCAATAGAGACATGAAAGATAATTTGTGTTTTATCAGCTTAGAAATAGTTTTGATATTTAAGACATTGGTGAAGATCAGATCACATTTCATGACCAATTTAAGCAGAAAACCAGGAAATTGAAAATAGTTTATTTACTTTTTCTTGCAACTGTACTTAACATATTCATAGTTATAACTATGCACTGAAATTTGTGAACAGATTCCATTCTACAATTTTAAATTTCTAAAATACGAAAATAATTTACCAAATGAATGTTTCCTTTATCATCTTCTGGAAAATTAATAATTGAATCACACTAATAGATCACTCATTGTATCTTGAGCTGCTGAAGGAAACCAGTGGTCTGGGACTTTGATTTCAGATATATCAATAGAATCTTCACGCTAAATTAAATATTAACTTCCAACTTTCCTCCTGCGCTCTTATCTTTGAAAGGGTTTGCACACATGATGTTAATCTTAGATTATGTTAATCATTATTTTCAGTGTTAGTTATGTTAAGTTTGAACATGCTTCTGACCTTCTTCAAGCGTGCATCTTAATAAACACATAAATACTCAAATTCATTAATTTGTATTACAATATAGACAGAAAACATTACATTAATATATTACAGAGTACAAGATATATATATATATATATATATACCATGACAAAAATATGTATGTTATTAAATAAAATATCTTTGCTTGTCCTAGACAAAAATATATATTTTTACTTACAAGATAATTAAAACTTACCAAATAGTAATACCAAAATATAATAGGGTGAAAAAAATGGTAGATGAGAGGCATGTTAAAAGTAGCACAGAAAAAGGCTTTGCATTGATTTGATCATAATGCATCAGAAGACTTTACAGGGAACAAACAACAAAGCTGACTCCAACTTCATATTATTAGTTGAAACTATTACTCTGTAATTTGTTAAAGGTACAAAGGAAGAACGTGCGGTAAACATTGTCAAATGTACAGTAAAAACAGTCAGGCATGTGTTAAATTAGATACTGTAGCAGCTAAGAAAGATTTGACATGACTACAAGGAAGAAAAACAAGGAAATGATTATGAGTTTTAGTCTTGGGTTTGAAATGAAAGTCAAAAATATATATTTTTTCTACTTCCTGCCATCAAATCAAAAACAGTAGGCAGCAGTAAGGACGTTTTTGTGGAGGATATTATAAGGAAGTATGGAGTGTTTCAAGAGGAACTTTTGTAACTACTTACAATCAGATTAATTATGTTTAGCTTGTTGTTACTGATAAGGTACCATTTCTGTCCACAGAATACAGCTCTAATATCCTTAACAGAGTTAGTTGATACTGATGATACTGATGATTTTTAGCCAAAGAAACCATGGAAGAAGACACAGATGGTGAGGAGGATAATAGCGTTAGCGTTGACCAAATTTCTCCATAGAGGTTTCTCAGTGGTGTCCGTGAGCTTCATATTCAACGCTGCCTCCTGTTCTTTAGTCAGTTTAGGTGCATCTCCTTGATCAAAACCGCAGAGCCAGTTGTAGGCCTTCTTCCAACAGCTTGGATCCTTGCGCACCTCTGCAGGGTCGAGAGACAAACGGAAACAGTTGTTGATTGTTTTTAAAAGTATGTATGTTTTTAAAATACATTATGTGAGCATGATTTCCACAAGTAAGGCATGTGCCTGAATCAACATCCTTTGTTTTTCCTAGAACAACAATCTAATCAACTAATTATGGCCCTAACCTAGTCTCAGCATCAGACGGCACACTCACAGTCCATTCACTGAGCTATGTGATGCATATCGCACACAAAAATAGTGAGTACTATCTTATGGTACATATTTGGTGGATCATGGAGATGTACCTTCTGTTTGCACAGAATCTGAATCCTGATCGTCAGTCCAGTCATCTTCTTCCAGATCAATCCTCTCCTCAGTGCTGTTCCTCAAACTCCAGCAGAGCCTGTACAGCTGTGAAGCAACAAGGGGCCACAGAATGAGGGGCCATGACGTCTAAATCTCTGTTTTTCAATAATGTTATGCATGATGAATCTATATATAGGCCCTACGACCATTCAAAAGTTTGGGGTTGTAAAATATGGCTGTAGTGCATACATTTTCATATGTTTTCTATTTTAATATTATTTAAATTTTAATGTATTCCTGTTATGACAAAGCTGAAGTTTCAGCATCATTACTCCAGTCTTCAGTGTCACGTGATCCTTCAAAAATCATTCTAATATGCTAATTAATTGATCAAGAAACATTTATTACTATAAATGTTGAAGACCGTTTTTGTTGCTTAATTTGTTTTTTTGTTTTTTTGTGGAAACCATGATACACTGCCATTCAAAGGCTTTTCCTAAAGAAATTAATGTTTTAGCAAGGACGCATTCAGTTGTTTAAAAGTGACAGTAAAGACAATTATGATGTTACAGAAGATTTATATTTCAAATCAATATTGTTCATTGAACTTTCTATTCAACAAAAAATAAATAAATGGTTGAAAAAAAATCATGGTTTCCACAAAAATGTTAAGTAGCAAAAACTGTTTTCAACATTATTTTAAATTGTAATAATTTTTCACTATTTTACTATTTTTACTGTATTTTAGATCAAATGCAGTCTTGAACGTAAGAGACTTCTTTTAAAAACATAAAAAAATCATAAGTATTCTCTGAACTTCATAGTTTAGTTGTAAGAAGAGCTTACATGTTTGTCATCAATGTGTTTAGTCATGAGGGAGATGCTCAGTATCAGTATACAGGACAGGCCGAAGAGGACGAGGGCGAAATAGAGGTAGTGCACACCACAGATGATCGTAGGACAGTTACTGGGACCCACGCAGCTGCCCGTGCCGTAGGCAAACTCAGTTATCATACGCACCAGAGCCACCAACAGACCAGATCTAGAAAACTAGATGAGTAATTCTGATGACAAACTTGATGTTGGCTTGACAAAGCCAGGCCTGGACGTTTGAAATAACTTTGAAAGCTTGAAGTTTGACGATTTTACATTGCTAATATTTTTCTAGTATTTTAGCACATTGCTAAGATTAATTATCATTTTGCTGACATGTTTATAGCATGATTTAGCACACCGTTAGCCTGTTTTAACAAATTGCTAGCATGTTTTAGCACATTCCCTTAAGAAAATGAACCATGGTTTTCTTTAAAAAAAAAAAAACTGTAGTTAAAGGAGTGGTTGTTTGGTATTTCACTTTTTTAACTTTAGTTAGTGTGTAATGTTGCTGTGTGAGCATAAACAATATCTGTAAAGTTACGGCACTGAAAGTTCAATGAAAATGGAGATATTGTCTTTTAAAGGGGTCATATGATGCGATTTCAAGTTTTCCTTTCTAAAGAAAATTCTGTTTAATGCCTACAGTTACAACTGGTAGAGACTACAACGAGCTACTTCCCGGGTTGGTGACATCACAAACCCTGCAATTAACATAAACCCTGCCCCCGGGAACAAGCAACAAAGGGGACGAGGCTATGTTGTGCGGCTTTTCCACCGGAGCACATGCAACTATTGCCCGTAATGGTAAGGGGCGTGACATTTCCGGACAACATGCAATATGCAGTTAATGAATCACAATACACTGGGCCAGCTAACCAATCTGACCCCATTGCGTATTTAGGAGGGATTGGTATCATAGAAACAGGAAGTCAACCGACCGTTCAAATGACAATGGAGACAGCGCCGTAGAATAAAGGTAAAATATATGACAACTAAGGCGGTTTTTTAAAAACGAAGCATGAAGACGTTACACTGCACCCCATAAACACAATTAAGCCTAGAAAAAAGCAGTCAACCACCCTTTTAAACCATGAGCTTGCTGCTCAACATTCAAATACTCAGTGCTTGCTGTAGCAGTTGCAGTGTGCTTCAGAAACCCTCCCCCTTCCCCAGTTCTGCCTGTATAGATCTGCTATGGGTTAATTTCATGTATGCTATATATAGGAGTTATTTCATGTATGTTATATGTGCAGCATCAGTATTTCCTACATGCAACATGTCTGTGGATGTACTGGCAGTAGAAAGTCTCTGTACTTGCTCTGCCGCAGCAGCAGTAGCGGCTCTATTCTGCCAAGACCAACCACATTAACATTGCCATGTATATTACCATGCTAAACTTTCTGAGAGTTGTCGTGACAGAACTGCGGTTGCAGATGCACAGTGAACTTGCTCTCGAGTGTTCATGGACACTGACCTTGACTGTTCGAATATGGCGGACGGCTTATGTACATACAGCGGCCCAGAAAAACAGCCGCTAATGAGGCATCTATTCATACACATCTATGGTTTTCACAAGTTGCTAGCATGTTTTAGCATAATGTTAACATGTTTTAGCACGTTGCTAACATGTCTTTAGCATGTTTTAACACACTTTTAGCATGTTTTAGCATGTTGCTAGCATAGTTCTAGTATGTTTTAACACATTGTGAAGCAACATAATAATCATCAGCAAAATTTTGATTGTGTGTGAAAAAAAACTACGTTTTATACAGTCCTAAAAATTCAAACTAGCAAAATGGAAACAAAATTATTACAAATTTTGCTCACTGGTTCATTGACTCGCTTGCAGAAAATGGCGAGGGTGAAGACAGCAGCGATGGGTGGAGCAAGATAACTGGTGATGGACTGAATGTAGTCGAAGAGCTGCCCGCTCTGAGCCGACTGAACGATGGGGATCCACGCAATACTCACGCCGATCAGAAACAGCATGAACACCCTGCACGCATGAACAGAAGCCTCTCAGAGCCTATTCACCTCACCTCAGTTTCTGCTCACAAGATCAGAAAATCAATACCCAACACAAACAAACAGACACGAACACACCTCCCCGCAATCATGAGTTCCTTTTCCTTGGCTTTGGGGCGAATCTTGGTGTAAATGTCCATAGTGAAGAGTGTGCCGGCGCTGTTAAAGATGGAAGTGAGTGAACTCATCAGAGAGGCCAGCATGACGGACAACATCAACCCTCTGAGACCTTTGTAAACACACAGCAGTTTAGAGCCATATCACCGAACAGATCAGTCTATTAGAGATGTAAAAGACAGAAACAGAAAAAATATTATTCTTTACCGTTTGGCATCAGATCCACCACTAGTTTTGGATAAGCAATATTACTGCAGCCCACACTGGTTCCACAGTAGTAGTCACACTCTTTTGGATCCACACATGCAATCTCATCTGACACACACATACACACACACAAATAGTTGATTAATAGTCTTTCACTGTTCACTGACCTTCTGATGCATTTTGCATTAAAAAAATGTCACAAAAATTGCTGCACATTACTTTTGGATTTTCAGAATTTCTTATCATTCAGTCCACATGCCATTTTCGCACTTTAAATTGTATTATTTGGCTCTGTAATTGTTATGGAATTATAAATTGCAGATTTACCCTCCCTGAAATGTCATAAGAAACCGATGTTATTTTGGTATTATTTGTTTACTTGCTTAAGTGTAAATCAGACACTCTGCCTGTCTAAGTAGGCGGTTGTTTGTTAAAATAAGTTGCTAGCATATTCTGTGAGAAAAAAGCGGACCAGACTTTATGCTAATGAGCAAAACTCTGTTGGTGTCAGTGTTTCTCACCTGTGTACAGCACTCTGCTGATCATGCCAGGGAAAACCACGAGGAACATGGGCAGAAGTTTGAGGTAACCACACAGGATGCAGCCCGCTTTCACATGAGACAGGTTCTTGGCAGACAGACAGCGCTGCACAATCACCTAAAACAAGATGAAGAGTTTGTGTGAATAACCCAGAGGAACATTTCAGTGCTCACAGTTAATTAGTCCACTTATTTGAAAGACATTTTGCTCACCAAGCCTGCACTAATTTGATAAAAAATACAGTAAAAACAAGTATTACAATAAAAAAAAAAATCGGTTTTCTATTGCAATATATTTGTAAATGTAATTTATTTCTGTGGTCAAAGCAGAATTTTTAGTAGTCATTACTCCAGTCTTCAGTGTCACATGATCCTTTAGAAATCATTATAATATGACGATTTGCTGCTCAAGAAACATTTTTTATTATTATTAATGTCGAATTTATGCATTTATTTGAATAAGAGAAATCTTATGAAACAATGTAATAGTCTTCATCTTTATCAATAAATTCAATGCATCCAGATTATTTCTGCTTGTCATCTAGTTGAAAATTGTATTTATACTTATACATGTTATATTATACATAGAACATTTTAGGTATCATGATTTGCCATCTAAAACACATCTGGCAACCTGGGTTTAAATGATTTAGAATCCCCGTGAGACAGGTTCTTGGCAAACAGACAGCGCTGCACAATCACCTAAAACAAGATGAAGAGTTTGTGAATAACCCAGAGGAACATTTCAGTGCTCACAGTTAATTAGTCCACTTATTTGAAAGACATTTTGCTCACCAAGCCTGCACTAATTTGATAAAAAATACAGTAAAAACAAGTATTACAATAAAAAAAAAAATCGGTTTTCTATTGCAATATATTTGTAAATGTAATTTATTTCTGTGGTCAAAGCAGAATTTTTAGTAGTCATTACTCCAGTCTTCAGTGTCACATGATCCTTTAGAAATCATTATAATATGACGATTTGCTGCTCAAGAAACATTTTTTATTATTATTAATGTCGAATTTATGCATTTATTTGAATAAGAGAAATCTTATGAAACAATGTAATAGTCTTCATCTTTATCAATAAATTCAATGCATCCAGATTATTTCTGCTTGTCATCTAGTTGAAAATTGTATTTATACTTATACATGTTATATTATACATAGAACATTTTAGGTATCATGATTTGCCATCTAAAACACATCTGGCAACCTGGGTTTAAATGATTTAGAATCCCCGCTGTGTAGAGAAATAAAAACAGATGCAAATAAAACAGTTAACTATATGAACTATACAGTAAACTATGAACTATAATAAACTTGTATGGCTGTTTTTTGTACAAACAAAGTTTGTATGCCAGAGTACAAATACTGAATACTGTTCATCAAAACAAACATCTGCAGATTAAATAGAAATGATATCACGTAATAAATAAATAAAAAGCTTCATTAAACATTCAACTCTTCTCATTCTGTTTCTAGTCACAGAAAGAACATCCCATTACAATGTATGTGACATAAATAAACATGTTTATGTCTCCATGAATCATTTCAAGCTTAAATATTGTTTTTTTTTTCCCCTTTGCGCTAATGTGTCCTAAATCACTCAATTAAAAATCGAGGGCAACCAAACATGGGAGTCTGAAACAGATAAGCTTATGGGCTATGAGTCTTGCTAATGGGCTGTTGAACTAACTTAACCATGTCTATATTTGCTTCTGCTTCTCTTTGGCTGTTTGCATGACTTATCTTACTCAGTGGGGACTAATCTGGGGTCTAACTAAAAGCATGTCTGTTTAAGACTAGACTCACTCTGACTAAAACAAGAAGCACACAGCTCATCCTGAGAAACTCAAGATAAAAGTGCAGTTTGGGGTCCTAAAGTGGACACAGAAGAGATTTGTCAATGTGTATGTGTGTGAATATCTGTTCCTTACCCCGTGTTGGACATGTAGCCCTCTTATTTTATCAAACAGTATGTTTTTATGTCCAAAATATTATTAAAAAGCAATACAAGAAAGTTGTCACAACCTACCCAGCTAAAAGGGAACTTTCTTAGAACCTGGCTAACATGATATGAACAAACCTTTATCCTGTAACGTTAATAGAATGTTCATTTTAAAGTTATCTGGTTTGTAATAATGATCTTAAAACATCAGCACAAAAACATTATTTATACATTGCTCATGGAACTTCTTTCAGGAATGTTTCAGTTGGATGTTTGTCTAACATTTTTTAAATCTTACTACTTGTTCCAGAATGATCACATGATGGAATGTTCCCTTAATATTCATAGAACATAGAACATTTTTAAAAAACTGGATGTTTTGAACATTCAGAGAACATTCAGAAATAATGTTTTCAAAACTTTGTTGTTAGCTGGAACAAAGTTTTGGCCCATTTACACCAAGAATGATAACTATAATGATAAATATATTAGCATCCCCACAGTTTTGTCGTCTGCCACTTTAAATGCTCTTTAAAGTCAGGTGAATTCTGATTGGCTTTCAATGTTTTGTTCATCAGCTTAAAAAAATGTTCTGAAAGTGAATTCAATCATGATGATGGTCTGCAGGGTGTCGGTGTAGATGACCGCAGCTAGACCACCTGTCGAAGAAACAGGGAAGGTTTATCAATGAAAATCAACTGAGCAACTGAAAAGGAAGGAAAATATGTTAGCAGAAATGTATGCTTGGCATTTATGCTGGTTTAATTAATTCATTATTATTTTTTAACATGTATAACATTGTCAAGAAAGTTTTCAATTAAATGAAATATTGCACTTTCATGACTGTTTCTTCCAATTATTATGTTTTAAAAATCTTTTGTCGTGCTTTAAAGTACACTTATTTTTGTGTTGACTAACATACTAAATCACATGTAAAGGACTTATTATAATTTTAACTGTAGTGTGATAGTTGATATTACATTTAAAGGGGTCCTATTATGCTCTTTTACAAAGTCTTGATTTTGTTTTGGGGGTGTACTAGAACAGGCTCTCATACTAGGTTGTTCGAAAAACACATTATTTTTCACATATTTTACATTATTACAACACCTCTCTCTCCAGTCTGACATGAACGGCTCGAATAGTTCCTGTATCAAATGAAGGCCCGCCTTCTGAAATACGAAATGTGCTGTGATTGGTTAGCTGGGCCAGTGTGTGTTGTGATTGGCAACACTCGGCGCCTGGTCGGGAAATGTCATAGCCGCCTGCGAGCTTCAGTGTAAATATTGCTCAAAATCATATAAATTTGAGCGCGATTTAAACCCGGCTGATTGTAACTACTCTAAGTTCGTCTGCCTTGGAAAAGCTAGCGTGCCTCCTACATAGTGAGCATCACTCGGCGCCTGGTTCGGAAATGTCACGCCCCTTGTCATAGCCGCCTGCGAGCTTCAGTGTAAATATTGCTCAAAATCATATAAATTTGAGCGCGATTTAAACCCGGCTGATTGTAACTACTCTAAGTTCGTCTGCCTTGGAAAAGCTAGCGTGCCTCCTACATAGTGATAACCCTCGTTGCCTTCTCTAGTGCAGCTCAACCAGGTCTCGTCCCATTCGTCGATATTTGTGATGTCACAAATCCCGGAAAATATGCGTTGTAGTCCAAACGAGTTGTTCGTTGTAGTTTTTGAAAAGTGATTTCTGTTAAATAAAATATCTCCTTTTGAAGTGGACTTTGAGCTTTGTAACTTTGCAGATCTTTTTTATGCTCAAACAGCAACATTACAGACTAACTAAAGTTGAAAAAGTGAAAAAGCATAATAGCACCCCTTTAAAGTAAATATAGTCTTCAAATGTATTAAATTTCATCATTAATAATTACAAATAAATTTAAATACATGACATCACAATTACCATGCATTAGACAAAGGTCTAAAAAACAATTCACACTTACAATAAGTCTACTCTTTTCGTACTACTATAATACAATATATTATTTCCACAATATCTTTTTTAAACGAAACTTCTTTTTCATGAGGGTGAATTAACTTGCCTTGTCGTAAAATATCAAATTATCTGATATTTTAAGAGACTTTGACCTTCACCCACAGTAATGAGGGTCTGCAAGGGTTCTCTATGATATCCTGTTTTATGTTTTGTTCTGTCGGTCGCACCACATGACTTTGGATTGGCTGACAAATGTTTTTTGTTTTTTAAATATTAACAAGCAGTAGTAGCAGGAGATTTCTCAATGAAATATTCTTTTTCTCTACTACAGTATCAGGAGAGTTGTATCGCCATGATATTTTTGACTTTATGCTTTCTCAAAAAATGATCAAAATTAATTTTATTTCAGAATTTGTTTGCAAGGCAGGGGGCTCTTTGGGCCTCTAAAGCCTTAGCAACTGCAGTTTATCATTCACAGAAGCATACAAACACTCTCAGCCACAGCTCATGTAAACATTTACAGCTGGTAGGATGATTTCTGATTTCGTACAGTTTATTGTTGGGCTGGTTTGTCCCTGAGATAAATCTATTACACAACAGAGCATGGGGATGGTAGAAGTTTAAAGTGGCAGTGCATTAAAGTTTGCCTTCCACAGGCTTATCAGCTATTGTCAGTATGGGCAATTACCCATAACACATACACATCACGCTACAATAAGCAGCCGACTGCATGGTCCTACAACCCTGGACTTCACTCTCTGTTGTAGTACAAAAAACATCAGAGTCCATATAAAAATCAACTTCACATCCCTGAACTGCTTTAATATGAACTACTATTTTATATATGACCACTACATATATACAGCGAACCACTGATGAAGAATATGTGCACTGTGTCAGTTTAAAGTGTGCAGTATTTCAGTCAACAGACCTGTTACTGTATAAAGAGCTGTAATGAGCAGCAGAATAATCACGGCCAGGTAAATGTTTAGTCCCAGAGCCTGGTTGATGAAAATGGCTCCTGCAAACATGTCCGCCTGAAACATGGAAAAAACAGAAGTACAAAAAATGGGGGTGAGGTGCAAATGTTTGAACTATCCATTTCAAAACAAGGTCCTTATCTTTGAGATCTAAACCCACTTTAGTCGGACTGCATATGGCAATAAAAGCTATTTCCACATGGACCTCACGGCCATTTCAAATCGACTATCAGACTATAACCAGTGTTTAGTGAAGATCTGACGTAAACAAGGCTGGACAGACAACAAACAATATCGAAATGAATTTTAATTCAGAAATAAGGACCTTGTATTTTTTAATTACAAATAATCCATGTAGTCTGCATTCATAATAATTATGAATGATTTATCAAAATGCGGTTTAAAATCTCTTTCGATTGAGTGTAGCATGTTACACTACTGATGGTATGTCAAAGTATCCCAAGTATTGAATGTCAGCTACCACGCAATTACCATGTGATACCCATATTTTCTGTAAGGGTTGTGTAATGTGGTGTTTGGGTTTTGGTTCATGTTCATGTTTTCATGTCTTTTATTTTGTAATTATTTCACCCTGTTTGTGTCATGCTTCCCTTGCCCTCATGTATTCATGCCATTGGTTCTCTTGTTCATCGTGTCATGTTCTGATTGGTTGTCTTAGTCCACTATGAACCCAGCAGTTTCACGTCTCCTCTGCCTGCGTCAGGGAGGCCGGGCTATAGAGGAGTATGTGGCCGATTTTTGTGAGGTATCCCAGGTGAAAAATAAATATTTTTAAATTGTGCTTTTTCAGACAGACTTACTATATTTAAATTATACTATACTAAGTGCATATTAAATGTATTATTTTGAAACAACTTTAAGTATATTAAGTGTATTTCAAGATATATTTAAGTTTGATTTTAATCTATTTGTAATATATTTAATATATTGAAATTGTGTTAAATTGGAACCACTTTAAGTATATTTAGTGCAATTTAAGTGTATTTCTTAAAATACATTTAAAATGTCCTTTTAATACTTCATGAACTACAG